ATGGGCTAGGGATTGGTGGTGGTGGTTTCTGGAAACCTCGACCAACATGGCTAGGGCTTCGATCAACAAACACTTTAAAGAAACAATAAAATAGGCAGATTTGGAAAGCTGTAATTCTCCTCAATTTTCTTTCACTTTCTCAGTAACCAAACAAGAATAAAGCAACAAAATCAAAATTTTAACCAACTCCACTGCTTGAATCATATATTCTTCACTAAAACAAAATCATAGAAAAAAATTTCATTCTTAAGGTGTCCAAGATTCAATGAAAAGCCACTAGTGAGCTAAAATTCATAAACCAAAACTTTTTCTCACATAAATGAAAACAAACAAAAAGCAAGCACTTTCCAACAGCTAAAACCCAGTCGCTTACCAAACACATGGCAAGGATTTAACAAAATTTGCATACCAAGAACAATCACAGTCAATTAAATACCAAGAGAAATCATCATAGACAAATGTTCGACATGTTCAAATTCCAAATCATCATCACAACAAAATGTAAAGGCTTGGAAGCAAAATACTCATTCTAACAAAGCAGCACAACAATGTTCGAATATGGATAGCTACCAAAAGAAAGCAAAAGTTATTTCTCTTCCTCTGTTAACACACAAAATATTCGAAGTAGACCCAAATATTTGTTTCACCCAAAAACACCCAAACATCAAAACAATCTCACTACTGAAATAGAAATCAAAACAGAAATTGAGAAATGGAAACAGATCCACTCAAACATCAAGTTGGTTTAAAAGATTAATTCAAAGCATCACAAATAAAATTACATAGTAAACAAATTGGGAAGAAATAGAAGAATGAAGAGATCCGAATTGTGTCCCGCACCGGAGTGGTAGTCGTTACCAACAGCTTAACCACCATGGTGGTGCTGCGAGCACCACTGATGTAATAGAGTTCCCTATCAAATCTGGAAAATCAAGATTCCAGATCTCTTTAAAAAAAAAAAATTATGTGAAAAAAACTGAAGAATTTGAAAAGAAAATAAAAAGGAAGGAAAATGAGAGAGAAGAATAGAAGAAGATGGAAGAACGGAGACGATAGAGGACAAAGGCTGAATTTGTGGTTTTTGACTTTTTGCTTTTTTGTTTTTTGTTTTTATATTTAAATATATTATATTTGACAAAAAAATATCTGGTGCTTGCATGCTAATTTTGTTTCTGCAGGAAGCCAGCTTGAATCCAACAAGAGGGCCATGTCCATCAGGTAGCCTCTTTGCATGCCCTTAATACGGTGGCTAATTTGCTCAAATCAAGGAATTTGGGGGCTTGCAAGCCATTTTTTTCTTTGCAAGCTTATGTGAGATAATGGAAAAAGTCCAGCGGCTCTAGAGTGGTTTTTGCCATTAGAAAACTCATGAGTATAATTATATGAATATTTAAGATTAAAAACTCATGTCTTGAATTGAAAGAAGAAAACTATATATTGCATAAAAAAAAATGAAAATTAAATTTTCAATTATATTAAACGGAGGTAGAATTTGAAGAAGAAAATTAAATATTCAATCATAGTTAATGGAGGGTTGAATTGGAAGATTGAGCATTAAATATGCTTTAAATTGTGACATGATTAGAGTACTATGTCCCGAAATACAACAGTTTTCAAGTTATCAAATCAAATGACTCACTATTGTTTCAGCCTTCTGACAAAATTGTAGTAATTTGTGACATGATTTGTTTTGACGGTTGTTAATGTTCCATACATGTTTGATGATATTGCAGACATCCCTTCATGGAAGCTGTCCAGTGATCAAAGGCGAGAAATGGGGTGGTGTTATTGCCACAGCTTCAAAGGTTAACACCACAGCTTTTTTAATTAATTGACCATTAACCCATGCGGAGAAGGAGGTGACTACTGCAAGTTGGATTCAAATGAGGTGTATAATAGTCAAATAATTAAAAAAAAGCTGTGGTATTAACATTAGTGGCTGTGGCAATAACACCACCCCGAGAAATGGGTTGCTACAAAGTGGATTAGAGATCAAGAACAGTACGACTAAGCATCAAAGATTGCATTTGTAATCATCATAATATATCTGTTTTGACATCACAATTCTATATGAGCTTTCAATGAGCACAGTCCTGTCGATGTACAGATTTCTGCAACAATAATAAAGTCAAAAGGGAATACTTGAATTAGTAACAGGGTGAGTTGGGGCTCAACTTCTGTTTGCTATGTATCTTGCTCTATTTTACTTGCTGTACATCTTTGTCTAAAATAGACAAAGCAAACAAAAAGTAAAGCTTAATTTCCATTAGAGTGCCGTCAAATTAGTTTATAATTATCTAAGCTTATACTATAATCTTAGATAATTAAATTAGTTTATAATTTAAAAAATTAAATGTATCGTAATGAATGTGAGTATAATATTATAAAACAAAATTTAAGGAGATAAATCTAATTTGATATCATAAAGTAAAATTTAAGGAAGCAAAATTCAACTTTTCTCAACTGAGCTTGGCTGGCACAGGAACCGATACCGAAACACCGATTTTGGTGAGATTTAAAATCCCACTACAATGAATTCGATTGCCAGGATCACCACTTAGGTTGGCAAGACTTAAAATACAGAGATAAATTGAGAGAAATCCACTCTCAAAAACTCACTCAACAGAGGAGAATTATAAATTGAAATTTTGATTAAAACTTATCTTTACAACGGAGGGAACATGGCTATTTATAGGCAAAATCTAACTAAGGTAGTAAATGTAAAGCTAAATACAGTTGGGAGCTAGCCATTTTCGTGGATTTTGGTGGCCATTTTTGCTGACTTGTGGCCATTTTGACAAAGTTGCACTGGCCTATTGTAGTTGGCGGTGCTGCAACGTAGCTTCTGCATGCTTGCTGCATTTTTCTTGGTGCATTCTCCCTTGGTTGGAGAAAACTCGTCCTCAAGTTTGAGATCAATCCTTATGATCCTCATAGTAAGGAGATAGATCAACAACACTGAAAGTAGCGGAAACTTTGTAGTCACCTGGAAGTCTAATCTTGTAGGCACAACCGTGATAGAATCCTTGCTTCGTTGAGTTCACGGTAATCCATGAGGGATCTCGTCAGGGACAACATTAGAAAATTCTTCAAGGAGAGATCGAATTTCCTCTAGAGAAGGGGAAGTGGCATCATTCACTTTAGATAATAGTAAGAGACAAGCTATCCTCGATTCTTGATGCAACTTCTGAAAGGTTGATCTAGAGATTAAGGCCTTGTCCTCATCCTTCTTTTCAAGTAAATCTTTAGGCTTCAGGAGAGTGAGCTTGATTTGCACACCATTTTTCACAAACAAGTAGGTGTTGGCATGGCCATCATGGATAGCCTTTTTGTCAAATTGCTAGGGGTGACCAAGTAACAGGTGATAGGCGTCCATGGAAATAACATCACACCACACTTCGTCTTGGTACCTGTTACCAATAGAAAAAGAGACAAGGCAACGTTTGGTTACTTTTACCTCATTTCCATTTTGTAGCCATTGTAGCTTGTATGGATGGGAAAGATCTTTGACTAGCAGTCCTAGCTTCTCAACCATATAACTGGACACAACATTCTCACAACTTCCACTGTCAATGATGACGTTGCAAACTTTCCCTCGAAAAGTACATGTTGTGTGAAAGATGTTATGTCAAAGCCAATCTTCATCCTTGGTTATGGTAGCATGAGGACTTCGACGCACAACCAAAGATTATCCATGGTCAACTGCGATGAGTGCTTCCTCAAGTTGTGGCTTAGTTTCATCACTATGCTCCTTTTCTGCTTCACCATCTGAGACTTCATGAATCTCTTTTCCGATAATGGTGATAATTCTCCTATTGGGACAGTCGGAGGAATGTGGCCAAATCCTTGACACTTGAAACACTTTTGAGTGTTAGGTTGGGCTGGATGGCTTGAACTAGCTTCCTTCTCAACTTTGGCAGGTGTCTCAGCAACAATGTTTGAGGCTTGGGTCCCTTGGCTACCTTCAAAATCATGTGGTTTTGAAGCAATAATAATATTCTTCTTTGAGATTTGCTTTTCAACCCTCAATGCTAGCCGAATTACATCATCCAAAGTCCAATATTGTTGAAGTTGAACAACTTTGGAAATATCATAGTCCAATCCTCCAAGATATCGGGTTATGGTTTGCTCTTCTTTTTCCCGAACATCACACTTCATCATTAATTGTTCGAACTCCATAGTATATTCTTCCACAGTCAAAGATTTTTGTTGCAAGTTATGAAATTTAACAAAATTATCTTGGTAGTAACGGTCAGGTAAGAACTTACGAGTGAGTTCTTGACGCATTTTCTCTCAAGTTCTAATTTTGCTGTAGCCTTCTCTTTCTCAACCACGTTTGAGATTCTCCCACCAAATGGATGCATGTTTTTTCAATTTGATGGCGATGAGTTTCACACGCTTGTGGTCAGGAATATCCTTGAGTTCAAACACAGGTTCCACAGTGTGTAACCAATCAATAAATTCATCTTGTTGAAGGCAACCTTCAAAATCTGAAATATCGATGTTGATGCTAAGGTTAGTGGATTTGGGAGCAACATTTTGTTGGGGATGTCGACAACAAACTCTTTCTATTGATGATGAGCTTTCATTATTCTTTAGGTGATGGAAGGGATTCTCATTGTCAGTATCTTCCTCTGACTTGTGTGGTTCATCTGGTGGGTGTTGAGCTTGTTGACCCTCAAACGCTTCGAGTCTCTCTTGAAGCCTTTGAATTTGTTGACATAATTCTTCCATCTCTACGTCTCGAACAACTCATTGACGAGGAGGATTTTGTCTTCTAGGAGGCATGTTGAGTTTAGGTTGGTAAAGTGGCCTTTTTGGAAAGATAATTTTAGGAGCTGGGGGTAATTTGAAATCTGTAAAAGTATGGGGGCCAATCTATAAGGTCAAAATAAGTTGTGGGACTTTATGACGTGGCAACAGATGAGGCTGTGGTGATGACGTGTCATTGACATGTCGGTGATGTGGACCAGATGACGTGGCAAATATATGATGTGGTGGTGACATGGCGATGATGTGGCATTGACGTAGTGGTGAGGTGGCAATGTCAGGCAATGACGTGGTGATGAGGTGGCCTGATGAAGTGGTAGTGTGAAGGTTGAAGAAGATCGGCACGTGAATTGCACGTGAGTTGCAGTGGTGCGAGTGGCCGGCGCGTGAGACAACGGCCGTTGAGCGTGGAGGTGCGTGAGACACTTTTCGGTGGCTGGGTTTTCACCAGAATGCTCATAATGATGTGCAGACTTCAAATATATTGGCTCTAATACCAAATGACACAGGAGCCGATATCAAAACACATATTTTGGCGAGATTTAAAATCCTGCTACGATGAATTTGATTGCCAGGATCACCACTTAAGTTGGCAAGACCTAAGATATAGAGATAAATTGAGAGAAATTCACTCTCAAAAACTCATTCAACATAGGAGAATTATAAACTAAAATTTTGATTAAAACTTATCTTTACAACGGAGGGAACATGGCTATTTATAGGCAAAATCTAACTAAGGTAATACAAATAAGTAATTATGCATACCTTGGTTCCCCAACTTTTTCTCTCTCTATGGGTGATAACGGCTTAGAGTGAGAAAAAGTAACCAGCCGTTCTTCGATGGTGCTTTCCCATCGAAATTCACCCGGAATTCCAAGTTCTCGTCCACCAATGAATACTCCCGCTTCTCCTGTGCTCCACCCCGCCCCACTTCTTGACAGTTTCCCACCCCTAAAATCAATGGAACAACTTCGCTCCAAGTTTAGTGTAAAAGTCGCGAGTATGAAAGATGCTCAGTGCACCCAATTCCCCACCTTAGCTCCGATTTTTGAGTCATTGGTGGTGTCGCACACTTGCCCAGTCACCGATTCTACAGTTGCACTTAAAGATTCTCTCGGGGCCTCGCTTTCATGGGCTGATATAATCGCAATTGGTGCTGAGAAAGGTGCTCTTTCTTACCATCCTCCTGAGATACATGATGGCAAATTGGTGGTTAAGCCACCTAGATCTGTACATGAAGAAGGGGTTAAATCTTGGGAAGATTGTTTAGTGGGTTCTTTTATTGGTAACTCATCACCTAACTATGGAGATATTGTTTACACTATGAATAAGCTTTGGGGTAGAAAAGGAAAGATTCTTGTGACTGGTTTTGGGAATAATACTTTTCTGTTCAAGATACTTGATTCTGCCACCAAAGATTGGATTCTTCGTTCTAGGGTGCCATGGCATGTGCGGCACAAAATTCTGTATCTCCAGAAATGGAAACCAGATTTTGAACCTTCGAAATTGAAGCCATCAAAACTACCCATTTGGGTGAAGGCCTGGAATGTACCCATGACTCTATATACCCCTCAGGGTTTGGGTTACATAGTCAGTGCTATTGGGATTCCAATTTCCCTGTATAGGGCCACGGAACAGCGTACTCCCATTAATCTTGCTCAAATTTGTGTTGAAGTTGATGTTGAAAAGATTCATTCTCTTCCTGAATCTGCCTCGATAGATCTAGAAAATGATCCACTAGTGGAAGTAATGTTTGAGTATCCATGGCTGCTGGTCAAATGTGAAACTTGTAAGAAAGAGGAGCATCTTAGCAAGGACTGCATTTCAAAGCCAGTTGAAAAGCCAGC